GCCCTGGGCTCGTGCCTCACGTGCTCTTAGTGTTGAAACGTCACTGACTAGCGCTCAAAATGGACTAAGATATTTTAGGGTCACGGTTTTTTGTATTTATTTACCGTCACCGTGTCAGTTCATTTTACAATAACTATAGAGCGCGCCGTAGAGCATTTCTTATCAGTTAAAAGTAAAAAACACTTCGGGGGTCTCGTTATCGCGCCTCGTTGTGTAACAGGTATATTTTTAATCGTGTTTAAGACCGTATATAGATAACACGCGTAATAATATATTATAATGGCCAAATGACTGCTGCAGGACAACCGACCGACGCGACCGTATAATATATGATATACGTAATCGTAGAGTAATGTATATTATGTTCATTATTTTGTTGACGCAAAGAACGACGAATTTTTATAGGTTTACCTGCAACAAAAACGAAAAAAAAAAATTGTATACATAATTTAAATTGTTAATATTCTGTTGCCGTTATCACATATCGAATTTGTAATAAACCTCTTAAAATGCTCGGTTTCACCAAAAGAATTGCCATTGATTATCGTTTTTCATCATGTACTTAAAATGTTGTATTATTCCTTGGTACGCTCTGTTTTAGAATATGCGCAGTATGGTTCAATAATATGAGATCCGTACACCGACACCGCTGATGAGATCAGTCAACTGGAAAGGGTACAGCGTAAGTTTTTAAAATTTGCTAAATTTGTACTCAATATTGAACACCCTGATCATGATTATGTCCCTATTTCTGAATTCCTGGATCTAAGTATTCTCTCTGAACGTAGGATCCAAATTAGTTTGCGGTTTTTACCGAACCTAATTAGCGGTAATATTGATTTCCCTCTATTACTATCCGGGATTAATTTTCGTGTTCCATCACAGGCAACACGTACTACGGCTTCTTTTTATGTACCTAATTACAACACAAACTATACCGGATTTAGTCCACTAAACAGGCTAATGAGGATTGGTAACGAGAACTCCTCCGTCTTAAGTTAGTTTTAATACATATTTTTTTTTTTTTTTTATTTGTATTATGTGTTCTACTAATTTATGCAAAATAATGTTTCCTGGTTAATTTAATTTTTAATTGTATTTTTATTTTATTTTTTGTACCTATTGTCATTAATTTCCGTCATATACTACTATACTTGGGTCCATCCTATTGCAGATAATAAATAAATAAATACATTATCATGAAAGATTGTAAAAATACGGCGGCAGTACTGTTTGTGTAATTATTCGACTGATTCTTTAGATTTATCAAAAGAATTCTCGGTCGTGTTCGTGATTTCTATAGACGAGGGCTGAGAACTTTCAATTGGTTTTTATTTTTTAACTGAACTAGCACGCAAAAGGCTGAGCTCATAAACAAGTTTTATACCTTTTAAACGCCACTGGTATAAATGTAGTTTAACAACGGATGGATGTTCAACTGATGTCTCTATAGCACGGATTTTAGGTTGCGACTTAAATATTTTAATTAAATAATAATGCACATTTTTTTTGTTTCTACATTGTAATTTATTACATTTTATAACACTACCTGAACCGAACTTGTAATGTTTAATGTATCAAAAATAATTGAATATATTAGTATAATAAATTAAATAGCTTGTTAGGTACAATCGTTATTTATTAATTGTTAGCATATTACACACAAAGACATAATGACTAGCTGGCCCGCTCGGTGTTGCCCATGCCAATTTTTATTTTATCCATATTTCTTTTTTGGTTTTGCAGTCCGTGTCAGTTATGAATAAAAACAAATATGTAAAAAATAGTTAGTCCACTTTCGGCAGACTTAAAGTGTTCTGTTATGATATTTGTCCACGATTTTTATACGAAAAATATCGAAATCTCGACTTCTTTTTTTGGGGGGGGGGGGGGGGGAACTGGGGGATTTTAAATAAATTGAAGCCAAACCTAACCTATTAAAGAGTGGGGACGTTCGGCNTTTTTTGGGGGGGGGGGAGGAGGAACTGGTGGATTTTAAATAAATTGAAGCCAAACCTAACCTATTAAAGAGTGGGGACGTTCGGCAGCCTGACTAATAACTGATTAAATATTGAAAAATGGAATAACCACAATAGGTAATATTCACATTTACAGAAACTTCAAAAAATCGTAGAAAATCAAAGATATATTCAGATATATAGATATATAGACTACAGTTTTATAAACCTGTGATATTTTATAATTCTTAACATGTAGGATAACAAACAATATTTTATATTACAAAAAAGGCTAGAAAAATTTAGCACTCTTGTTGTCAACACAAGAGATATAAAGTCATCGACCGTAATAGTAATAAGAGGGTGAATCATATTTAGTAATACTCGAAATTATTATTTGACCACGCCGCGAAAAATTTTTGAAATTATTCGTAAATTGTTTCTGTCACCACATATGATTTCTAACCACAAACACATATCTCGTGGGTCGATCAAACAAATTCGTCTCCTTCGTGTTATGTTATATGTTAGTGCTGACAAGCTTCAAATTTTCTTAAGACTTTAGCTTTATAGTTCGCGGTGTCATCTATTTATAGTTATTTTACATAACATCTTTAATCGTGACCGGTGCCGGAATTGTGGACAAACACGAAAACGGACGCTGGTTTACAAGCTGTATTTCCATAATAAATAAATGCGTTCCCTGTACTCTCTATATCTGAAATAAATAAATTTTGAAATAAAATTTTTCAAAGTTCCAAACATATTTTTCTTTAAGTTTATTACAATATCGTGATTTGGAAGAATATGAAATAACATAATATTGTCCAAAGATCATTAACGGTTGAATCGATGTTATTAGTATTATATTCACGTGTATACGCGTCCGCAGTAAAAAAAAAAAAAAATTATTGTTTCTGGCGGAGTTTACGAGTACATGAATTTATCCGTTTTTTTTTTTTTTTGGTAATTTTGGCACAGTTTACTTTACACTGCAAAAAAAAAAAAAAAAAAAAAAAATTATGCTCGTGCGTGCGGGCGGAATTAATAATTGCTTTATTTACGAGGGCAGAAGATGCGGACCGGTTCCCGCGATGTTTTGTTTTTTAAACACACTATTTGAGATATAATATTTACATACTATCTGTACGGACGTGTTAAAAATCGAAAATACAAACCGAGGTCTGTTTTCATGTACACAATTATCGATTTTAATACACACGAGTAATAACACGGTTTCGATAATAACAATAATTACGTAGAGAGTGTTGTAATAGTTTCGGCGGGCAACGTGATATTAGAGTTATAATACGTGTATATTTAATTTGTACCTATGTATAATGTACACGAACAAATCGTAAATACTCCAGTGGCGGACGCGTTACAGTAATATAGTGTAATATTATTATGGCACCCGTGTTATGCGTGTCACTTAAACAAATACGCCGACTATAAATACCAAGTTTTGAAAATTACTCGTCGTCTTTGAATCAATCATTACCAGTTACCGTACGTTTCGAAACATAGTCCGTGTCCTAACGGACGGGTCCGGAAAACACACGCACTACGAACGAGCCGAGTTCCCGGTTTATGAATGTATTTTAAAACAGTTTCCTTAGTTCCGCGTACAACAATATCGTGTAATGAATTATCCGTTAGCACTGCTTACGTTATTATTTTTAATTTTTAATTTTGGCCGGTATAAATATATGTATATATATATACATATTTAATATTCTTTTTTAAAGAAACGTCGATAATACTAATGTTACGAACGGTATTTGTCAATTAAACCCACATCCGTAATATTATTTGTACAGTTGAATAACGGACGCAACGAGGACGTAGGTATATAAACACAAGTTTACTGAATAAACGTTTGTATATAAACCTAAAAAACTGACAAAACGTGATAGATCGTAATAGCTAAAATTATAGCTCGAAAACCGGCAGTTTGTTTCGAAAATCGTACTGCGTCTAGAAGACGTTAATATTAATACACACAAATATTCAGTTGGAATTGCCCGGGTTGCTAAAATTATTATTAACTGATTTTCGCACATTTATAAATAAAATTAAAAAAAAAGAAAAAAAAAAAAGGCTGATACTGCTGATGGGCGTGCTATCTGTTTTAGTTAGTTTTGTTAAGGAGAGAATTTTGAAGGAAGAATATGACATAGAGTAATTTAATTTATATCTGCGCGTAACTATAAACCATTGCTGATTAAAAACGATTTTGAGCAGAACATTTTTAATAGTGATGAGTCGATATGACTTTTTCCGACACCCGATATTCCGCAACCGATATAAAACCGATACCCGATCCGATATTTGAAATCGAAAACCACGAGTCGACATTAGAAATTAACCGATATATCAGTTGAAGACACGATTTTTAATGGGCTTTTTTTTGTTTTTGCCATATTCTAGAAACATTTTTTCCCCGGTCGAATAGTTTTGGTAAAACCGCGGTATTCCAAAATCCTAAATATCGGTCGATAATCACCATCAATATTATTAATCGTATTATTCCTTTGTTGCCAAGACAGACCAGAAACCAACGAAAATTATACAACAAATTTCCGGTGTCTTCCGTTTGTTTAGAAAACTACAAGAAAAATAAACAAACGACGTCGTCAGTGTATCAGCTAGATCAGCTAGATTATAGACAAAAAGACGTTTAAAGAACGTTTCGGATTGGTGCGAAATTTCGGGTGGAAAAAGTCGATCGTACGGGCTCAGGAAAAAGACTCGTCGTAGTAAAATCCGAAACAACACCGGAAACCGCGATTTCGTACGTTCTCTCGGTACGATATAATTAGGAAAACCGCGACAAAACGACATTCTCGACGCGCCGACTAACGAGCGGCCGCCATAAAACCCATCGTGGCCGGAAGCCGACCCCGAGCGTACACTGCCGCACCGAAACCGCCGGGATCCCGAAAGGGAAACCGCGCGTCGAGTCGACTCGTCGCCGTCGTCCGGGCTTTTCCCGCGCCGCACAGTGTCATCCTAACGCGCCGTCCGGGAAAACAATGTCGACCGGGACAAACCGCGCGGACGCCGCGTTACGGCGTTACGTTATCAATACTGCGGGCTCGCGCTCGCTCGCTACGACGAGTGTTCGGAAGCGGCCGTGCGTCGAGTGTCCGCGGGAGCGTGAACCGCTACGTTACGATACCGTTGTACGAACAACTTCTCGGGCCGCCGACGAAATCCGGCGGGACGTTTCGCGGGGTAGAGAAGGAGAACGCGATAACGTCGCCGGTAACAATGCGCGCGTTCTCGTCTCTTGCATAGATATTTAAATACGCATAAATACGTGGGGTTTTTTTTTTTTTTTTTTTTTTTTTTTTTTTTTTTTTCGCGCCGGTCCTGTCTCTCTCTACCCCGGGTACGTCGTCCCGGGGACATCGCTATCGTCGTTCGGTCCCGGGGACGACGCGCTCCCGTTTTTTTTTTTTTTT